CTTGGCAGTGCATCGTTGCTGTTGACAACTACTACCATAAATCATTTCCTGGCACACACCTGGCCCCCTTTTCTGTGCAACGGTGGTTCTCTTTGCTCAGCTCTCAACAGGAGAATTAGATTTCCGAAAGCAGACTGATTTGAGCCAGTCTGAAAGAGATGCGCCCTCCCTAACAAAAAAGTTCATACAATTAAGGGGTGTTCACTTGTTTTTTATTAAAAGCAAAACAAACCTCTTCAGTTGTGACCAGCTCCTGGTGCAGGATTTTATTTCGCCTACGTCCAGTGTTCTGTTGATCTGAAATTGAATGTAAAATGTGCAATAAATTATATTCAGCTGAAAAGTAGCCCACATTCCCTTTGCAACTGTGGGACACTCTTGAAAGTAAACTCCTGAAAAGCAAGGGTCGCAAGTTTTGTAAATGTAAGTGCACCCTCTGTCACATCCTGTTTATTGACCTCTGTTGATGGCTTGTATCTGTAACTAGTTGAACTGAGCAGAAATCTCCACCAGAAATTCCTTTTTCATGTCTTGTCACTGCATGAAGTGTATGGTCAAGAGTGAGAGCCAGTCTGTAGTGACCAGGACGTGGCAAAATACTCCCAGGAGGAGTACTGAGAATTAAGTTTTGCATAAGCAAGTGCAAAACAGTGACAGGACATTTACTGCTAATTACAAAGAAGAATCTTGGCATATCCCTGCATCTAGCAGAGCAATGACACTGAGGATTGTTTTCACAAAAAAAAGTGCACAATAAAACAATTCTCCTCATTTCTGACAACTTCCTGAGATAGTTTCTGCTGTCATGAAAGTGTTTTATTGCATATTGTCTACATTAAAGTGTAGAGAAGTGGCGATGTGATTCTGAAAACTGCATCAGTACTTCAGGCTGGCCCATGGTATTGCTACACTTGAAAAACAACGTTTCTGAGAGGCAGAGCACATTGTTCCCACGCCAGCAGTTAAAAACTACGATGGGGGAGCATCTCTGGGTGCAAACTTTAAAATGCTGTAGAAATGTGAGGTCACACATCTGTCTCTGACCCAGCAAATGCTTCAAATACCTTAATGAGGATCTGGGAACACATGCCAGTCTTTTCAGCCAGAGGCTTTCAACTGGAAATTCCTGAGGTAGAGATACAGGTTTAGGATTTACTTCTTAGAGTCTTTCCTTTCTCTTCCTGTAAGTGCACTCATCTTTGAAAGCCATGTCCCAGGGGTCTCAGCCAGTGACAGGCTGCAAGGAGCCACAGCTCCAGGCACCAGTTCTGCTGTAAAAACCATCTAAACTTCCTCCTGTTTGGAGTCAAGCAGGTGCTTTCCTCTTAATCACAGCTGTGTTCTTAGTCAGAGAACTGACTTGGTTCTCCTGCCTTCCCCCTCTACGCTGTTTTCCCTCAGCACGTCGGAATTATCTGTCCAATTGCAAAGAAGTTTTGCAAGGGACAGATGAACTTTGAACATTTGAATTTGTGACTCCCATGAAAGTGAAATCCCTCACAACTGATGCTGGCACAGGCCTTGCCCCATTCTCCAGCTGAACATCATAAATGCATATAGCTTGTTTTTTCCTGCGAGATCAGCCCGAGGATTCAGACTCTTGCCATTCCCCTCCTTTCAAGTACTGCGAGTGCCCTTCCCCATCCATGAGGCTGCTGCAGGTTCTTCTGTGCAGTAGTTAAAGCAGCGAGCTCCATTTTCGCTTCCCTGCGGTTCCCAATCGTCAGGCGTTGCTGAATTGTGTCCACGCGGTGGAGTGCGCTGCCTGTCCGCTGCTCTCCTCCCGTGGAGCCAGGTACGGCTCTGTCTCCTGCTCGGTACTTACTAGAGCCCACATCCTCCTCTCTTCCTTAATTTTCTTTCAGTGCAAAGTTTTAAAGGGACTGTACGAATAGCCTCACTTGAGAAACTGCTGCTTTCACCACCACCATTTCTGCTCTGTGAGAAACTGCCATTTTACAGCTGCAACTCCTCTGGGACTTCACTCTATGTAATACAAAATTACAAATAGAATAAAAATAGGAGCCATAAGCAACTGGAGCTTAGCTTCTACTTTGATCCAGTGCCATGGCCGAAGAGGCGAGCCATCGGTGAAGTTTGCCAGGATGTTCAGGCTGCTGCTT